TTTTTTGATACCAGCAAAAGAGAAAATAATTAAAAAATTTTCGAACAATGGAAGGGGGAAAGAAAACGATTTTCCACGGAAGAGCCCAAGCCACCACACATCTCCTCTTGCCTCCCTTTTGTTTATTCTTTTCCTTTTTTTTTTGATTTGGTGGGGGTCGGGTGCCCTTGAAGCGTGTCTTGTTATTGTGGTTGTTGTTTTTTTGTTTGTTTGTTCTCGTCGTTCTGCAGGACCTCCGGTGCGGGCGGGCGTGGATGATGCGGCAGGGGCGAGACCTCCCGCCCCGCTGCTGTTGCTGCTCCTTTGATTCCCGTCCTCTGCTGTTTCGCTCTCCTTGCGCACGCACGCGTCCCCATGCGTGTGTTTATACATGCGCGTGTGTATTTATTTGTTTTAATAATAGGAGGCCCGCAGGAGTGTCCCCCGCTCGCTCTCTCTCTGTGCGTGTCTGTGCATATATATATATATATATATATGCGTGGTGCGGCCTGCCGATCGATCAGCTCAACGAGATGAACATCGTGACGTCGTACTTCATGGTGCGGCGCGTGCCCGGCAGCGTGTTCCTCGGTGAGGCTTCACTGCGGCACCGCGACGCGCGGCAGGACGAGTACCTCGACTGCATTCGCCGCAACGCCGCGCACGCGGAGGTGGCATCGCTGCACCTCCTCGTCGAGGGTCCCGACGCGTATGCCCACTTCCGCACACGCGTCATGGACGACGTGCACTTCCTCCCGTCTGCTGCGCTTCGGCGAAAGATCATCCCGGTGCTGCGGCCGGCGGCGCAGCCGACGTACGCGGATTTGTTCCGCCACGCCAATCAAATACTGCGCGGTCAGCTCACTATGATATGCAACGCGGATGTGTACTTGCCGCAGGACGGGGCCAATGTGCGGGAGCTCCAGCAGCTGTTCGAGTTCGAGGAGGCCGGCACCCGCCGTGTGGCAGTGGCGCTGACGCGCCACGAGAGCGAGGACCCCCGCGATGCCCCACTCATCCACGACTACAGAGGCTCGCACGACGCCTTCATCATTCGTCCACCGGCGGAGGCGACGCTGGTGGAGAGCGTGCGGCACCCGCAGAACTGCTATAAGGCGGAGAACATCGTCCTGCATGAGCTGCGGCGCCACGGCTACACGGTGGTGAACCCGTGTCACAGCTTCATGTTGGTGCATCGCCACGCAGCGGACTTGCGGCAATGGCTGCCGCCCGTCGACGAGGAGCGGTACGCGCGGGCGCCGCCCTGCACGTTGGCGGAGGCACTCAATGTGTTGAAGCTAGGGGAGTGTTGCCCATAACGGCGACGGTGGGGCTGATGGCGATTGATTACGGCTGATCTTTCAGCTTTATGTTGCTGCAGTCACTTGCAGGAGGGGGAGGAGGACGTGTTGGTGGTGGTGGCTGCGTGAGAAAAGGGGTGAAGGATTTAACATTTTCTTTTCCTCTTCTCGTTGTGTGTGGCTACACGTGCACGTGGGGGGGGGGGTATCTGTGCCCTTTATTTATTTATGTATTTATTTTGTTGAAGACTTTCACTCTGTTCCTTGCCCCCTCGTCTGTTGTGGTGTATGTGCGTTAGGTTACCTGCGCGATCCACGTGTGGTGGTGATGCCCCACAGCAGCTCCCCCTTCGAGCCCCTGGAGGACAGCGCAGACGACACAACCCTGCCGCCGAGGGGCCTGCAGCCCGGGTCGCAGAACTCGTCGCAGGAGACATGCCCGCCTAAGGGCGCATTCTCGGTGGTAGTGACGGCGTCAGAGCCCTTCGCCAGCATGGGGCAACGCCGCCGCCGTGGCGCGTCCGCGTCCCGTAGCCGTTCCATGTGTGCAGATGTGCGGCTGGGCGTGCAGTACACCGGCACGGATGTCGCTCGCCGGCCACGTAACTTCATTATTGGACTGCTGGCGGTTGTGCTGCTCGTCTTCTTCGCCGGGTCTGTCCTGTTAGGCATCTGGAAGGCGCCGTACATTCTGCTGCGCCTCGCGGAGCTGAGTGTAGGCGAGGTCGACTTGATGTTCTCTGGTGGCAGCGGCAACAGTCCGTTCATCGACTACAACGAAATTGGCCCACGCCTCAACGCGATGCCGCAGGTGCGTGGCGTGGCGCCTCGCTGGTTACTCCGCTCAGAAGCCCGCAACTACGTTGATCTGCGGAATAGTCGCCGTTCTGACGCTCTCGCTGAGGCAGATGTGCCCATGGCGCGTGTTAGTCTCCTCGTGGTGGACAGCGCTCAAGAACGGGAGATCGGGATGGGGCGAGCGTGGACGCACCGCGAGACTGGCTACGCCGAGGCACATGTGTTCCATTCCGTCCTGGCGTACCTGCAGCTGCACCCAAACCGGGGCGAGCGCATGAGCATGCGGCTTCCGTTGAAGGAGATGCTGGGCGTTGACAACAACAAAAATAAGGCCCTCTTGCGAATCCACAGGCCTACGAACGCAACTGATTTATCTTCCCGCATTCTCAATGAGTTATTTCGTATGGGCAGCAATTCAACGGATTACGTTGATCTTCTTGACGTATTCAACCTGGAGATGTTCGTGAATGTCGCGGACAGTGTCACATCAGGGGATGGAAAGTACCCCACACTCATTGGGAACGTTGTGGTCATGGACTATAGGTACTTGATCTCTCTTTTGCTTGACCAGAGCGGTCTCCTCGGCTCACACTCAATAGTGCCTGCAGAGGGCTTTAACTTCAATATCTGGACAGACCTCTTCGGTATTCCCAATACGTGGGAAGACTTCGATCTGCGCCGCACGGCAATGATTGTTGCAGTCCTACTGAATGACCGCCGTCGCATGTACTACAAATCTGAGGAGGCGCGGTCGAAAGACATGGTAGAGCGCAGCAATGCCATTATGATTGACACGATTGGGCTAGACTTTGAAGGTAGTGTGCAGTTCCCTGTGTCGTCGGCAATGGGTGGATACGAGGTGATGAAAACGATCCTCGTCTCCTCTCTCACCTGCATTGTGGTTGGGATTGTTGTGCTCTGCACTATTCTGTTCTTTATGCTGCTGCAGGCCAACGCGGATGAGCGGCAGTTCGAGCTCGCCACTATGCGGGCGCAGGGTATGCAGAGGAGGCAGCTCATTTTGGTCCTTGTAACACAGACGCTCGCCTTCGTTGTTCCTGGTGCTGGTTTTGGCGTGATCGTACTGTTCGTCCTCAATGTCATCATGGAGGTGGTGCTGGCGCGTTTCACCGAGATGCCCCCACGTATCTTGGCGTTTCCGGTCGTCCCTATTTTGTTAGCCGTCGCGTTGGGCGTTGTGCTTCCGCTTGTGTCGAGTTGGGGCCCGGTCTCACGTGCCCTCAACAGCAGCCTGCGTGATGCCCTTGATGTGTACCGGCAGGTGCAAAATGAAGCTAAGGTCATCACGGTAAAACTAGAAGAACTTGGGCTTGCGACGTGGCAGGTGCTGCTTGGCATTTTCCTCGTCGTGGCGGGTTTTCTCGTGTACTACATGATCCCGTTTTCCTTCATCTTCGAGAATATGCCGCTCTTCTTTCTACTGCTGGACGCCGTGCTGATTGTGATGGTGGTTGGGATTTGCCTCATCATGTGTGTTGTGGAGTCGTACATGGAGCTGGGGTTTCTATGGCTGATGATGTGGGGCAGCGAGACACGCTTCATGGATGTTGTCAAGAAGAACCTGCATGATCACCGCGTCCGCAACTCCAAGGCGTACATGATGCTGCTGGTGAGCGTCGCCTGTATCGTCTCCTCTAGCGTGAGCTTTGAGATGCTGTCCATGACAACAGCGCAGCTGGTGCAGATCTCCAGCGGTGCCGATGTCGTTGTCACCTCAACAGTCTTCACGGATCCCCTCAACGAGGCGGTGCTGACGGCATTCCTTGAGCGGAAGCGCAGCACACACGTGGCGGAATGGGCATACCACAGCTTCCCGCTCAGCGCCTACCCGCAGATTGTGCCATGGACGCATCTGGAGACGATGATACGCATAAGCCACGGGATCCCCGTTGTGGCGGTGTCGGCGAGTCTACTCGACACGGTCTACCCGACGTACGTCATGGAGGATAGCCGCGACATGCGCTACGCGTACCCGCGCACTGTTGACGGTGGGTACGACGTGGTGCGCAGCATGTACGATGACCCCCCGGATGCGACTTTTGCGGGAGGAAGTGTGATCGCCACGGGGATTCCCGCATGGATGGGGCCACCGAACATCTCGAAGAAGGTGTCGTATGTCATTCCCGGGGTGGTGGCGTCCGGGATGCGNAACAGCGTTGGGGCGGGCGCCGGCGACGGCATGGTGCTCAGCTACAGGTACAACACAGTGGGGCTTGTTGTGTCCACGAAGTTCTATGTGGAGCTGCGGGCCCTCATGAATCGCGTCTCCGGCTTCCCTGGTATCACATCAAGCCCGAACAGCCTAGGCAGTGGCTCGGTGCTCATTCCGCAGTCGTTCTTTGCGACGCTGCTAGACCCCAGATCACTCGACTTTGGTGACGAGAGCAACGTGACGCTGGCGCCAGGCGCCGTGACGGAGATACGGCAGCAGAAACTGTTTGTGCGGCTGCAACCGGGCCTCAGCGCGGCGGAACGTACCGTCTTTGTCAACGAGATTCAGGCGTACATGCATGTCACGTTTCACACCGCCACAGATACACAGGAAGTGTTGGATGGGCTGAGTGCGGTTGGTGAGTTCATCATGTACTTTTTCTACTTCACCGCTATTGTGTGCACCTCTCTCTGCACACTGATGATGTGGATTACGTTTGTGGCAAACGTGCAGCTGAATGCGCAGATGCTCGGGGTTCTTCGGGCGCTGGGGTGCAGCAACTGGCAGGTCGCCCGCATGATCCTTTATGAGGCTTTTAGTATTGTCTTTTCAGCCTTTCTGCTTGGTATTCTTGTGGGCGCAGCTGTGGGCCTCACGCTAGGACTGCAGCTCGCAACAATCATGGTGCTGCCGTTCCAAATCACCCTGCCGTACACCCTCATCGGCGTACTTTTCGCGCTCATCGTTGTGGCTGCGGTGGTTGGGTCCCTGCTGCCGTTAAGGGCCGTTAGTGAGAAGAACATTTCCGTTGTAATGAAGGGCGCTTAGTGCGAGGCGCCATCCGTAACGCACTCCCCTCCTCCGCCTCTCACTCTCTATTTATCATCACCGCGACCATGATTATGGGGAACCAAAAACTGCAGCTACGCAGTATTCAAGGCAGACGTGTCTATGGAAGGGAAGAGTCGTTCCACGCACACACTTCTCTTTATTAGTGCTGTTCTTTCTTATTTGATCTTCGTTCTTTTTTGTCGTTGTTGTTGCTTCGTTTGGCCCGCAATGGTGCATGTACACTTGAACCGTTCCGCATGCGGATCCTCTGCAGCCCCCACCCCCCAAAAAAAAGTCTGGGAGTGTTTTCGTCCAGTCCAATATGTTGAGTATACAAGTATCTCTCTCTCTCTCTTTCTATATATATATATATATATATATACCTATGTATCCCGCGTCTGTTTGTTTTTTGCTTGGCGGAACTTTTGTCGCGGCCGCCCATCTCTCTCTCTCTCTCTCTCTGGCTGCTTCTCCTTCCCGCCATCCTGAGTAAGCCAAGTGGTTGCATTGTTTAAAAACGCAAAAAAAAATTTGCTTACTTTGAGTTGGAGCCTAACTCTTCACAGTTTTCGTGAGTGTGTGTTTTCCGTCTCGTCTTTTTCCGTGTTTCTCTCACTCTCTCTCTCTCTATCCCTCCACTGCCCTCTATTTGGCTGGGGATATTGGGGGGGGGGCCTGCTAATATTGCTGCCGTCTGGGGTTTTTGAGTCTTCTCCACGGCCTCCTCTTCGCGCCGCAGTGGTGGGTGTGTGTGGGGGACAGGGGTGGACCGGATCGGGTATCCGCATCTTTTCCGCTGTCAACACCACATCGCCCTTCCCCTTATTTCGTTTCCCTTTTTGTTTGTTTGTTTGTTTGCCATGCGTGTAGTCGAAACCCCTCTGTGTGACAAAAACGAATATGCGCTTGCGACCATGCACAGGTGCGTGGGGCGGTGGCTGTGCAGCTTGATCTCCTCACACATTCAACTTTTGGTTGCCTTCTTGCTTCCCTCCATATTGTTGTGAAGAATGCCGTTGGTAGAAGCGGTGCTTCTCAGCTAGCCGTCATCGTCCCCCCCCCCCCCCCCCCCCCCNTCCCGCACCTACATACAGTCGCGTATATGGTGGTGAGTGAAACTGGAGGGATGCACGCGCAGCAGATGGTCCCCCTACACGGCCTCTGCGGATACGCCCCTGGCCAGATTGCCGCCTACAGCAATGGCTCACATAGCACCTTTACCAACAAGCGGCACTACGAGCAACATTACTTCATGGGGTACAAATGGCAGTGCGTCGAGTTCGCACGCCGTTGGCTGCTGCATCGCAAAGGATTAGTGCTTCCGCAGTATGACTTTGCCGCCCATTTCGTGTACCTGCGCAAAGTCCACGACATTCACACGGGCACTGCTGTACCGTGCCAGTTTGTTCCGCAGGGTGCTGAGGAGCCGCCGCAGGCCGACAGTCTGATTGTGTACCCCGGGACCAGCGAGAACATCGTGGGCCACGTGGGCGTCATCACGCACGTGGCGTCCGACAGTGTTGGCGTGGCCGACCAGAACCGCTTCTTCCATTACTGGGGCGAGCGGTCATGCTCAGCGGAATTCCCGCTGGAGTGCGTAGGCGGGCGGTACTACATCCGTGACCCAGAGGTGGAGTGTCGCGGCTGGATCGCGTTCCCTGAGTGCCCCAACCTCCCGGAGGGCGAATCACTCTCTGTGGAGCCGTACATGCGTGGGCCGCAGTCGCTTGGCTTGTGCCAGCGCCTGTCGTATATTATTGGGCAGTTCTGGTCGTGCTGCATCGGGCGAGAAAGCACCACATACTGCCTGCATAAAGGGCGCCAGTGAGCGCTGGTGGTAGTGTGAAGGGTGCTGAGGTGTTCGCGGCTTGGTGTTGTTTGAGCAATTTGAGCTGTTTTTTTTTGTGGTTTGTTTGCTCGGGCCTGTTCTCTGGCATCTGGTGTCTTTGTGTCTGTTCTCTTGCTACTACAGCCACCACGCACAAGCACCAGCAGCAGCGCTTGAGGCACGGGCATGTACGGTGCGCATCACCGAGTAGCGCCGCTGCGCGGAAGCGGCGCAGGTGCGGGGCGGCATTCCGTCGCCACCCCGTGCGACACGCTTAGCGCTACACCAACAGCGTCGCAGAGGGAACTTCTCACACAGCGTGGCTCACAGGTCGGTTGTGGTGCCGCTTCGTGGCCGTCGACAACGGGCACCTACGCTCTGCCAGTTTCAATGCAGCGGTCGCATCTGACGGCGCCTGTCGCCTCTCAGCCGCTGCGGACCTCGCAGTTTGGAATCCCGCACACACAGCCGCAAGTAGGCGATGGCGCCTTGCTGCAGTCGGCACTGTCTCAAACGGCGCAGCATCAGAAGGAGGCCACCGCTGCGCTCCTCACTGTGGTGGATTCCCTGCAGCAGCAGGAGAGGCGCCTGGCGGACGGCTGCCAGAGCCTCTCCTATCTTGCGACTCTCGTGGACGGGCAGCACGCACAGGTGGCGGCGCTGCGCAGCCTCGCGGAGGAGGTGCGCGCGATGGTGGTGGCGATTCGCGATGCCGCAGCGGTGCTGCACGGTGTGCGCCGCCAGGATACACCTCCAGCTGCTGGAAGCACGCCCTTCCCAGACATGTCCCACTGGCAGAAGTCTGCTGTGGGGCTCGTGCTTGGTGACGACTCTCTTTCCCCGCCGCCGCACGTTGGGGATGGCAATGGCGGCAGCAGCAAGAAGAGTGGCGACGACGACGACGGGTTTGATGGAGGGGCTGCGTATATGGGCGGCTCTCAGGTGAAGCGTGTGGTGTTGAGAGGCACCGCAGCATCGACGCGGCGCGCCGCAAANATATGGGCGGCTCTCAGGTGAAGCGTGTGGTGTTGAGAGGCACCGCAGCATCGACGCGGCGCGCCGCAAAGATGCAGTTCATTGAAGATGATGTTTTTTCCATGTGATTCCTTCATGGTAGTAAGAGTTCTCACAGTTTATATTCACATACGTGGAGGAGTGCGCGGTGGCGAAGATTTCGTTTGCGCGCACTTCGCGTGTCTTTTTTCATGTTGTTTTGCTCCGGCTTGATCCCCACTTGGTGCCTCTTCACCATCGACAAGAATATGCAGCCACACGTGCTTGTACATGGGTGCTTGGATGTCGCCGCTGGAAGCACACACTATTGTTGATTCCTCTCTCGCGTGCATGTCTGCTGCTTTCCTTTATATATA